GGGTCTCAGGAGGATAAAGGTGATGGGGGAAAAAAAAAACCCAGCAGAGGGCAGCATTGAGTTACCCACAAACTGACAGAATCAAATCAAATAATTTTAATAATTTCCACTGTATCTTTTGACCTATGGAACTAAGACCTTGTTTCTTTATCTTCTACAATTAATGGAGAAAACACATTTGGGGTTAAATTGCTCAAAATATGTAGCATTACAGTAAAAAGTAAATCTTTAAATCAGGCACTACGGCTCTGTTCGAAAACCTAGGACGCATCCTTAGAAGACCGGATTCGAAGGCTGATTACGTCATAGCGTGGTGCCGAGGTCTGGTCGGATTCCAAGAGTCCTCGTTATGCGGCCTTAAAATGCGTCCTTCTTTTTGCCCGATTTGAAGGACGGGTCTGATGTATCCTCGGTATTCTTGGATATCCCAGGATTCATTGCGAGACCAAGGAAGCTGTGATCAGAGGAAAGGTTACTTGGCGCCGAACAGTGGTGAAAATTGGAAGTTCAGTTTAATATAATACAACTCTGTGAATAGTTCCGTCTGAAATTAATGAAAATAGTTGTTTTAATGGTTACTGAGTCAGATATGTGGCGGTAATGTTTGGTCTATCTAAAGGTTTTAATCTGTTACTGTGTAAATGGGTTTGGCTGTAATTTAAGGACAGATTCTAATATATTTGCAGGGTGGGGACTATAAATCTGATAGGATTTTTATCTTTTTATTACTATTTTGCACAATATGCTTAACTTCGTATTTTTTGTTGTTGAATATTAGAGATTTTGCAGATATATGTTTTATAAATATATTGTTTAGATTTACTTATATCTTTCTTCCCCTTTTATAGAATAGAATAGAAAATCCCTTTATTTCCCCACAATGGGAAAATTTACAGCAGCAGAAAGATTATTGAAAATGGTCACACAAATGAGGACCTTAGAAAAATGTATAAGAATAACATAACAGGGAAGAGTTAAAATATAAACAATAAAATACTGTAAAGTGTTTTAACAATATAAAACTGGGGAATAAATAACCAATATGCAGCTGGACATTTTTACAGTAATGGATATTTGAAAATAGCAGCAGCATTAGAGATGTGCAAAATGACAACAGCATTTTCAGAATCAGAATTCTTTATTGTCATTGCTCCACAGGGGTGCAACGAAATTACTTGATTATTATTTTATTTAACTGACTAAGGTTTCTATCATTACATTTGATTTTATTTGTTCCTGCTCCCGGTGGTTGGAACATTTATTCCATTCTGGATTCTTGTGAGTGTAGCCTAGTCTTTGTTCACTTCACAATAAAAAAGAAATAAACAGTTTTGAAAACTTCTGTATTCATTCTTTTCCTGCTTTGTGTGTCAACGTTCACGGTTGCTAAGCAACAGAGCATACGGCGGTAAAACCCGCCGAAGGGTGGACCTGTTCGAATTTACAGCCAAAACTCTTCCGGTCTCCTTAGTAAAACCCGCCGAAGGGTGGACCTGTTCGAATTTACAGCCAAAACTCTTCCGGTCTCCTTATTTTCAAGGACTTCGAAGGATCCAGTCTAGGTAGACCGCGTCCTTGGAGGACCCGTCCTAGGTTTTCGAACAGAGCCTAAGCTTTATATCAATTCTCCCCACCCCTTGTTCAACTCCCTTTCAGCTCCCCTTACTATCTTCTGCAGGGCCCTCCCAATTGCCTTACTGCAGCTGGAATATGCTAAAAATTATATTATGCCACAAGACTCAATACTCTACAGTTGGTTCTTTGCTCAGCCTTTCCAGGCACATTTTTCCTCTGAACAATGCAAGTGTTGCAGAAACATCTGGAGACCAGCTTGACAATGTGTCGCCATTAAATAATTTCCTTTACATTTGTTAAAAGCACTTTCCAACAGATACTCATCTGAAAACATTGCTACATTTTTAGTATTTTTCCTCAAATTGCTGCTGCAGTAAATTTGTCCAGTTACATTTGTCCTTCAAATATTTCAGAAGTACCCTAGTCAGGCTTGTAACCAGCCAACATGGAGTGTGACCTTAATTATGTGAAGTCAAAGTTCCCACCATCACTGGTCAAAGATGCTGCATAGTTGCCACCAAGAGCTGAACCAGTTACTGATTTGAGAATACTTAGACATTTTCCCCTTATTTCACTGCACTTACCAAGGTCATTTCAATTGGTATTAAAAGTTGGCTGTAAATAGGTGCAACAGGTCAACATTTATGTTTTAGCTGACCTTCAGGCTTAACATAAGAGCTAAGGGGGCAGATGCTCAAATAGATTTGAGCTAATATGCATTTAGCCCATTCCAAAATATATCTCATACGCTCACCCTACATGTTGGTTTCATGGTAAGAAACCCCAACAGTAAAATGAAACCGTTTAAAATGTCCATTTATAGTTTTGGTGGGACTGTTTTCATGCAAAAGTATAAATGTTAGTGGTTTTGGTAACCATTTTTAAATCCAGAAACTGGCCAGACACCAACGCTACAGTTTTAAAAACAAAAGTAAAGGTTTTCAAATGGTTCAAACAAGGAATGACAGAAAAAGAGGGTTTGTAAAAGTTTATTTTCAAGATTCAGTCTCCAAGATCAAAGCCTCCAGTCAGTTTCACCTGCAGAGGACAGAAGCATCAGTACCACAATCAGCTCTCATGTAGTTCACAATATTCAGCCCTTACCTCATTAAACCTTCTGATCTCCTTTAGACCCAGACCCTGGGTTCTGTGGTGTTCCAGGTTGATCATCAAATGTATCCTGGACATATTTGGAGTTGAACTGGTTGTTTCGTGCTCGCTTGTAGCCGTTGCTGGTATGGATGACGTAGGAATAAGGGTACAAAGGGCGGGGGGCAATCACTGACAGAGGAAGCTGGAAAGCAGAGGCCTGGAGAGACTGCTGGAAGCCATTATTGGAGGGTCCCATTCTGAGCAAGTTAGCAATCATTGTAGAGACTGAATCATCTTGTGCAGGTGAGGAGCCTGCATCAGCACCAAAAGTAGAACTAGGGACTTTGCCAAACCCCGGGTCAGCAGCAGCACCGGAACCAGACCCAGGTCCACCTCTCCTGGAGCCACGGCTTCCATAGAAATAACCTGCATCCATTTGACCTGAGCAGAGAAAGAAAAGCCAAGTCACACTGTTCAAAGCTTCTGGGTTAAAATACAAAACTCACCCAGTCAAAGCATTATGCAGCCAGGAAGTTTAAGCTGTACACTAAAATATGGTGCTACTAGATATAAACCCAAATCCAGGAAGAACATTCACACCCACCTTGTTGAACAGGAACACATGCTGCAATATGGAGGAGCAGGAAGCCAATCCAGGAGCTCCTATTGAGACAAGATTGTTGAGAAAATACAAGAACAAACATCTCAGCCATAAAAGATTAAAACCAACAACTCACATGAAAACACCCTGAAACACCATGATGACCTCAGAGAGAGAAAAGCTTTGTGCTGTAACTGCTCTGCTGCTGCAGCTGACTTTATATCAGAGCCTCAGCTGCTCTGATGACCCTCATCATGTTCACCTGGAGCCTTGATTCAGAAAGTGGGATTAACCTATTCTGAGTAGAGAGCAGTTAACCTGAGGCAACTTAATCTGCTTTATGATTTTAGAACAGAAGCCATTTCACCAAACCGAGATAAGGGATTAAGTCTGGATTTTCTGGAATAATTAAGCTTGAACTCAGTTTCATGAAGGTAGTAGCCATGCCTTTGCTGATTATGATCAGTGCTGGGCTCTGATTTTCTGCTACTGGAATTTTCCCGTATGAAGTAGGAGATGCTGAAAGTCTTTGCAAAGACAATATTTGCTGCACCTTCAGAAGTTTGTATTTGGCATTAAAAGGATATATGCAAACCCTCATAACCTTCCCTGATCACAGAAGAATGAAATACATCAAGGAGGGATTCTACAATATATTTTTATGTGGTCTTGATTAAAACCACCCAACACTTATTTTGGGATTTTCTTTTTCTCTTAAAACTCAACATATTATTCAGTAATAAAAATTGAAAATTCAGGCGATGGACTAATCTAGAAAGGGATTTGAAGTGAGGACTTTTGTCAGTGTGATACCAACAGCCTGTCATCCCTCATAATTGTTCCCACTTCTTTGGAATTCATGTAAAACACTAAAGATATGAGTCTAATGGGGAAACAGTTATGCTCCAAGTTTTATTAGGGTGATTCTTAAAGAAGAGAGTAAATGATCAGGATTCACAATAAAATACTTTTTTCTTATTTAAACCATTTGTACATCAAATTTCTCACTGCCATAAGTGGGTAGTAACTGGTTAAATTTACCTGATGTTTGAAAATGTATTAGATTTAAAACCTTTACTTTGTGAAAAAGAGGATTTGAAATTGTGTTCCCTCTGCCTGAAATTGTTATTTTGTAAGTATGTCATTAATTCACTGCCAAAGTTTGTTTTTCTTTTAACTTTAGAATACCAAAATCTGAACATAAACCTCTTTTAGTCAGTCTGAAACATTTTGCAAAACCTAAATCCCATGTCAAACAATAACTTGATATATCAATTACCTTTCAATCACAATTTTTTGTATGTATATATTTGTATCTTGTATGTATATATCTTGCCTTTGTTTCAAGTAAGGGGAATCCTTTGCTGCTGTAATCACCTGCTCAGTATGCAGAAGTGATTTATACGAAAAATACTCTGACTAAACACGCGGGGGCGCTGTTTCACTTCCAATTTCCCGATGAAATCTTTCTAATCAAGTTAACAAGAAAGATCAGTTACAAACCGAAACAAGAGCCACATAGCTTTAACACTATTAAAGTCATTAAGTCAAACAAATATATAACAAGATAATACTTGAGATATCAAAGTAATTAATAAAAAATGTAATTATATATACAATATGTCAGTAATCTTATATTGTGTTAAAGGGTTTGTTACGTAAGGAATCATTTGGCGCACTAAAATTGAGCATTTATTTTGAAAGATTCCAACCGGAACTGATAACTACTTGGTTTTAGCTTGATGCTAAAGCTAACGGCAGAGTTCTAGGCAGCGCTAAGAAAAGCAGTTCTGACCGTCTTTTCAGACGTTAAATTGTTGTCGAACTTCTGCTGGTGTGTTTCATAGAGGTCGAAATGAATCCAGGTGAGCTTTTTTCCCCTCACCAACCTGCATTTATTTGTGTTTTCTCCACTCCGGGGTTTGTTAATAACAACCGTTTGATTTGTTTCCAGAGTTCAGCGTTCAATCACGTCTGAGGGAGAAGAAACAGCGGAGTTCCTCTGAAATCTCAATTTAAAGAGTGGGCCGTTTGTTTTTAGTTTAATCATTTTTTATACAAACAGTTCTGTTCGGTTGGCCTTCAGTTTTAAAGTGAGTTTAAACTGTGAAGTAATGGCGTTCTTCGTGAAAAAGAAGAAATTCAAGTTTCAAACCCAGCTGACCCTGGAGGAGCTGACCGCTGTGCCTTTTGTCAACGGGGTTCTGTTCTGCAAACTGCGGCTGCTGGACGGAGACTTTGTGGCTACTTCTTCCAGGTAAAAAAAAAAAAAAAGAGAAAACACAAGAAAATTTAAATTAAGCACTCAGAGAAATGCATTTCAAATGTTTGATTAAAGCAGTTGAAAAGTACTTAACAAACACACTTTCAGAACAGCTTTATATGCATATAGAGAAGCTAAATTAATTGCACACTTAAGCTTAAAGGTTTTTATTTAATGTTTGTGCTAATCTGCTTATTTTGTGCTTTTAACTGATACAAATTTCCTAAAATGGCGTTCACACTAGCTTCTGGGCCAATTTCACGACCAGGACCAGGTCATGATTAAGTTCAGATTTTTTTTCTTAAAATAAAAAAAAAAAATCTTTGCCTGAATCTGTTGCATTTCATCAGATTGTTTCATAACATCCCCACCAGAAACAAGGAAAAAAAAAAAAAGATCCTCTCCACTTTTTCTTGGTGTATTTTAATTAAATCTAGGGAGGCATTTTGTTTAAAACATCACTGTTGTACAGAAAAAAAAAAAAAAAGCTTTCAAATATTGTTAAACTTCTTTATTTGCATTATTTTAGACTTGATTATTTAAAATCTTTCATTTCCTTCTAAACCCCCCGTCCTTAAAAAGAAACTAATTACCATACACCCAAAACAAACCCAATGCTTTAAAGTCGTAGGGAAGTCCTATTTATATGTCAAATCATTCTGGCTTAAACATGTATATAAATGTACTCTGGGGATTTTGCACTAGTAAAATCACAACAATTCGTAAAATAACAGGCAACATTAATTTCATATTTTGCTTTTCGCTGTTATTTACAACAAGAATCTGATGATTTGAAAAAAAAAAAACCTATGTAGTGTGTTAGCCCATGCCATTTATTTTGGCCCCGATACCTGGCTGTGCAATATCAGCTGATAACAAAATTTGAAATTGATGTGTGTGTGTGTGTGGTAGGGTTGTCACGATACTAAAATTTTCACTTAGTTTTTATTTAAATTTTTGCAACTTACACAGACATATACATATAAGCCCACATTCAGGCTGCTGCTTTTGTATACTTAAAAAAGAACAAAACTTTGAAGTATATACAACGAGTTAGTTCACATGGTTAAACATAAACTTACAAACATAAATGTAGTTAGTAATTAAATAAGCAGCACTAATGGAAATAACAAAAATTAATAAGAAAATAATAAGTAAAGATAAAAAAGTATAATAGAAATGAAATAGAATACAATGAAAAAAAAAAGTTTTACTGCATTAATATGGTCATAGCCGGTTTCTACCTATTAACAAATATGTCTTTCTTAAGCCTCAGCCAATAAGTTATTTGTTCTATATGATAGATTTGCGAGACCTTTTCAATCCACATTTTGTATGTTGGCGGGTCAGGCTTCAACCATTTAACTGTGATGCATTTAAGAGCTGCAATCAGTAATATTTGTAGAAGGTATTTTTTCCTCTTCCAGTAATATCTTTTGGTAATAAAAAAGTACCATCTCAGGATCTTTGTTAAAGGTTTTCTGAAATACTTTTCTAAGGGCCTCGAGTAATACTAAAATTTTCAACTCAATACTGATGTTCAGAAATGTTTTTATTAATAAATAAAAAAAACAATAAATAAATACAATAAAATGGAACAGTATTTTGAGGTCGTAGCTGCTTAATACGTTTTTGGAACCCACCATAGTTAAATAGGAACCTGATCCGATGTTGGTCAAACAGGGATGGTAGAGTCAGCTGTTCCGTAAAAATAAAAAAAATATCCACTGGACTGGTTTCCAAGATTTGAAGACGTTTCGCCACCTCTCCAGGAAGCTTTCTCAATTCAAATGGCTTTCTCAATTCACATTTGAAAGCTTCCTGGAGAGGTGGTGAAACGTCTTCAAATCTTGGAAGCCAAGTCCAGTGGATATTTTTTGAACTTTTACGGAATGACTATGACCTGGATGACTGGGAATCCTCATCAGCATAGAGTCAGCTGAGTTTGACGGTGTTTGGACGCAGGTCTACTTTTATCTGCTTCGTTCTTTGACTTCAAGAGAGAAAATAACACTTTTCAGTGGTATCGATACTTTTGACAATGAGTATCGTATCCGGATACAACGTTTTAGTTTCGATACTTTTTCAGGGTTTCCGTGGGTCGTTAAAAATCATTAAAAGTAATTCAATTATTTTATTGACATTAAAATTCATTAAATGTGTTTATTGTGGCATTTAAAATGCTTTATTAAAAAAATGTTTTATGAAAACAATTTTGTCAGACATATTATATCGCGTTATATTTGCGTGGAACTGCTTCCGGTTGATCGCAAAGCCGTATGTTCAGAAAATAAGCTTGAGTCGGAGAAAAAGCTAGAGAATGGGGGGAAAAAAACTAATTTCAACAAAAGTGGCTGTAAAACGAGGAATTCGGGACATGGCTGCAGTCTGTAGACGGGTACCTGTTGGTGGCATTAAAATGATTTATAAGAGCATTAAAAGAGCATTAAAAAGCATTAAGTTAGAGTTATTAATTCCTGTATAAACCCTGTTTTTTGAGTAACGATACTTTTGACAACCCTAGTGTGTGTATATGAAGAACTGCATACTACTTGGATGTGAAATAATTGCCATCATGGCTTTGTCAAGCTGCTGCCTACCTGAAACAGGAAAAAGACTAATACAAAGTGAATCAAGTAGAAGTTTTTATTGCCTTCCTAGAATGGGTGACAATAGTTTTGGCTCTCAAAATGGTATCGGTGCCCTATTTGTTGGTACTCGCCGATACGATACCACCATTTTAGTGCTAGATCGGGGCCCTGCCCGATACTGGTATCGGTGCAACACTAAAAACTATACATACAAGTATGTATACACAGACTGACACTGACTGTGAAATTACCTTTGAAAAAACTTCCTACAGCTGGTAAACTGCTTGTTTTTTCAGCCAAATGCTACACATGTAGGCATTTTTACTGCGCATCTCCGTGGGAGTCGGGAATACACTTGATTACTTCAAACACTAAAGCATGTATAAAAAAAAAATAATAATTTTATAGGAGATATTTGGAGCACCACCAATTACGTCTATTGTTTCTTACCATCATATTCCACTGCAATAAAATCTGAATTTATTTGAAGGCTTTTTACTCTTGCTTATTGCTCTAAGAAAAGCTGTACTTTTTGTGCATTTTCTTCCTCATCTGAACACCATCCAGGATTAATATTAGATTCCCATAGAAACATAAACTTCTGGGCAGGATGGTCTGTTTTGAAGAAGTCCTCCTTCCTCTAAAAGTTCTGTTTAGGTTTGGTTTGCAGGTTGTTCCGTTTCTGCAGCTCTGGCTGTCTAACCAAGAACACTCTTGGCTCTGAGTCACGTTTAATGGCAGGCTGCCGTCATGTTAAAGCACCCCTCTGAGTCCCTGTGCTGGAACCTCTCATGAACTTCCAGACTAAACACAGCACCAAGTCTCTCATCCCAGCTCGTGTGATCTGTGTTTACTGGCTTTAAACCTCTGAGATGAACTAGATTGGGACGATGACTCTCAGCTGGCATTCTGAAGCTTTTCATCTCCTTTACTTCAGATGTTCCTCTGATCAGTTCCTAGCATCTGCAGCTTTAGTATCTTTTCCTTACCTCCCCTTTAATTCCTGATTCCTGGGATTGCGTTGCTTTGAAATGGGTTTGTTCTGCTTCTTTTGGCAGAAAGCTGACCCACTGGGTCCAACTGCACATGAATTGTATCAAGAGCCAGAAAAATATGATGCCTGTAAAATGACTGGAAAATTAGTTTGGAATGAATTAAACATTTAGTCATTTATTTCTGGCGATGCTAATCTCAGCATGAGGAAGTTAAGAAGTTTGTTTTGTTGGTAAATAAGGTCAGGGCTTCGTGGACATGAGGATGGTGGAAACCAAGAGGGGGAAGCAGTTTGTGGTTGATCTGCTTTCATGAAGCGTTATCCTCAGCTGGTGGGCATGGGGCAGCTGGCAGGTTGAGCTAACAGATGTTTATAGGGGGAAGTTCTTCACGGGACCTTCTGTATAACCTCCTCATCCTCCTTTGATTTGCTCAGCCTTGTTGTCTGTTATCATCCAATGATGAGACCATGTAAGCAGATCAGGATGTTTTTCATCAGATTTCTTCTGAGCAGATGTTTCCATAATCCAGCCTTTCATCAGCTTGCATACAGGTGCTGGTCATAAAATTAGAATATCATGAAAAAGTAGATTGATTTCAGTAATTCCATTTAAAAAGTGAAACTTGTATATTATATTCATACATTACATACAAACTCATATATTTCAGATGTTTATTTTGTTTAATTTTGATGATTACAAATGACAACAAATGAAAATCTCAAATTCATCATATCAGAAAATTAGAATATTACTGAAGACCAATAAAAACAAAGGATTTATAGAAATGTTGGCCAACTGAAAAGTATGAACATGAAAAGTATGAGCATGTACAGCACTCAGTATTTAGTTGGGCCTCCTTTGGCCTGTATTACTGCAGCAATGCGGCGTGGCATGGAGTCGATCAGTCTGTGGCACTGCTCAGGTGTTATGATAGCCCAGGTTGCTCTAATAGTGGCTTTTAGCTCTTCTGAATTGTTGGGTCTGGTGTATTGCATCTTCTTCTTCACAATACCCCATAGATTTTCTATGGGGTTAAGGTCAGGAGAGTTTGCTGGCCAATTAAGAACAGGGATACCATGGTCCTTCAACCAGGTACTGGTAGCTTTGGCACTGTGTGCAGGTACCAAGTCCTGTTGGAAAATGAAATCTGCATCTCCAAAAAGTTGGTCAGCTGCAGGAAGCATGAAGTGCTCTAAAACTTCCTGGTATGTGGCTGCGTTGACCCTGGACCTCAGAAAACACAATGGACCAACACCAGCAGATGACATGGCACCCCAAACCATCACTGACTGTGGAAACTTTACACTGGACTTCAAGCAACGTGGATGAAGTGCCTCTCTTCTTTTCCTCCAGACTCTGGGACCTTGATTTCCAAAGGAAATGAAAAATTTACTTTCATCAGAGAACA